TTGCATAGGTATGTGAAGCAGGAGGTCGTTGTGTATTGATGAGGTGAAGCCAGCTTCGATGTGTGCACGGATGATAGCTGCGAGGTAAACTTTTAGCGTACCATAGGTAAGTGACGACGTTGCGAGATGTGTCATAAACAGAATCGTTGAGCGTTGCGTTAGTGGATAAGGATTCATTCCATACATGCGACAGAAGAGAAGATAGCAAGTTTGTCCCACATGATATGTCCGTCGTTTACCTGGTGCAATGCTCAGGTTGATGTAGTGGCAGGCTTGTTGTGTGAGGTTGACGGGACTACATCACACATCGGAGCCGTTAAGAGGGTGCACAGGTCAGGAGTTTTGGTTGGGACCCAACATGAAAGTTGTTAGTTGCTGCAGTAAAGAACAGCAGTCGGACAAGTTGCATAATCCGTGGACATGATGAGGAGCCTTTTTTTCCATATTTGGACGACTGATATGTTATCGCAGTGAAACCGTATTCGAAGACTATACCACAAGTGGCCCCAAATTAAGGAAGAGGGTTTTTCATCTCGGTATCGTGGTGGCTAGTGGCAGTGTGGCCTGCAGAGTGGCAAGATGAACAAATGTGGAGACGATTATACCGACATGGAGTTTCGCAGCGATCTTGATTAAAATTACGGCAAGCTGTATTGTTATAATTGTCAGCAGATTCGTTCACCCATGTATAAGGATTCCTGCTTCGTTGGCATTCCTGTTGGTATGACCTTTTTGATGACAGTCAGGACATGTTGGAATGAGCAGATGGAGTTTTTGTTGACAGAATTTGTAATCAAGCTGGTTGTTAGGTAAACTCCAGTTCTGTAGGCCAGGGTAACGTGAGTAATCTAAACGGAATTCTTTGTCATAGGTGACCCATGCTTCTGGCTTGAACTCAAGAGCTCGGCTGGCGATGTGACGCTGGTAGTTGAATAGATGTACAGCCTCATAGGGAAAATAAAGTGCCCTATAGGCAGCAAATGTTGACCAACATTCTAGCCAGTTTGCTAGATCGGGAATTTCATTCTTTTTTGCATGTTTTGAGAGAACAGCGACTGAGGGATCGTCAGAGTCCAAAGCCACTCGGATGTTTGAGATCTGGCCCTTACCAAAATCAAGTATACTGAAAGTAAACTCAAGGTACACTCTGCATGCGTAAGTTAGGTATACCTAATGTGTACCAGAAATGAAACAACTGGTATACCTTAAGTAGTCCAGAATTGGGCACATTGATGGGTATACGTTGGGTATACTACTTTGGAAGAAGTATACCGTAGGTGTATTTATTTCTGGAAAGTATATTCTAGGTACATTTATTTCGAAGAGTATACCTTTGATATACCTCACAAAACAAACAGACAAAAGAACTCAACAGGTATACTCAAATCGACTGTCCACATGCAAAGTTGGAAATAGGTACATATATGGTATACCTGAAATATACCAATTTTAAACTTTGCATGATAGCTGTGCTCAAAGGTATACCTAAAGTGTACAACTTCAACTTCAGTATTGGAAAGTACATTTTAAGTATATTTATCCAGAAACAAGTTTTCAGATAAGTAGTATTTTGGTATACCTGAAGTATACCAAAATCAATTTGGTATACTTATAGTGTAACTTTGGTATGTGTAAGGTATACCAGAACAGTTTTTTATTTGGTAAGGGGGTGGCATTTGGATTTCTTGAGTCAGGGTGTAAATCGAACAAATCAACAAACTTACCCCGGTTTGCTAGTTGATTGAGTATTTGCTGGTCGACGTATGGTAAAAAGAAGTCTGTAGGTGGGATGATAGGAGGAAGTGTAATGCTGGCATTGTTCATCATCGGCATCGCCTGTGTCGCAGTGTTGATACCGGAAGCGGAAGTGAGAATGCCCTCACCGGCGAAATGTTGTATGGGAGCGGCCCATTGATGCTGTAGGTCAGCGTCTTCTACACCATCTGTGCTGGAACAGCGCTTCCTGTGACGACACAACGGGGAGCGGCCATGTTGGTTGCATTGAAATGACCCCCGGTAGCAAAACTTTGTTGACTAGGATTAGCGTGAGCTAGCGATGCTTGGCTTGTAGTTGCTGGAAGTTGTTGGTGAAACATCGAATTGTCTTGATGAGCGGTATTATCGTGTACGATCGCATTATGTTGACTAGCTATTGGCCTGGTCATCGGAAGGCTGTTATTTGTGAGAGAGTCAGTTGGCATCGAACTTGATGGTGTTGTTTGGCTTGGGTCGCATTATGACGCGAGGCTTGCCGACAGTTGTGGAGCAGCGGGCGGTGGCGAAATATTATTCGGCTGCGTTTGACAGTTTCCTTGCTGTTGTAGGCTACGAACGAGATCTGCGAGTTCGCTTTTGCTAACTGTGATGACATCGCTGGGGGAGTTCGTTGACTGTAGTACAGTGGGATCTCCATTGCGTGCTCACGATTCTTGCGGCCGTGAGTCAACATTTTGGAAGCGAGCTGGAGTACGACGATTTCGTTGAGACTTGCGACCGCCACGGCTGGTGTTAGATCTTCTGCGTCTTCGAGGCATGTTGGAACTGGATGTCGTGAAGAAAGACTGGTATTTGTGACAAATGAATGGCTGAAATGCTTTAGCAAGGAATTCTGCTGAAACGATGTGTATCGTACAGTGCGGCAAAACAAACTGATGCTTGAAGAGGATGCGAGCACATATAACCAAATGAACAGTCTGGCGTTAATTAATGTAAATCCGACCGAAAGACCAAATGTGAGCAAATATTGCATGAAGTACAATGTGGCATGGGAGGGGTCAAAATATGAAAGGGGGATACCAGCTTGGTCAATGCATGTCATAATTGAGCATTAACACAGATTATAAATTATATTCATAATCATACTATATACATACATACACTATGACATCTCTATACATTCCGTCTCATTTGTATACCATTCTTTATTTCTATTGTACATACACTCTGACATCCCAATACATTCCATCTCATTTGTATACCATCCTTTATTCCTATTGGACATACACTCTGACATCCCAATACATTTCATCTCATTTGTATACCATCCTTTATTCCTATTGTACATACACTATGACATCCCAATACATTCCATCTCATTTGTATACCATCCTTTATTCCTAATGTACATACACTATGACATCCCTATGCATTCCATCTCATTTGTATACCATCCTTTATTATTCCTATTGTACATACACTATGACATCCCTATACATTCCATCTCATCTGTATACCATTCTTTATTCCTATTGTACATACACTATGACATCCCTATACATTCCATCTCATTTGTATACCATTCTTTATTTCTATTGTACATACACTATGACATCCCAATACATTCCATCTCATTTGTATACATCCTTTATTTCTATTGTACATACACTATGACATCCCTATGCATTCCATCTCATTTGTATACCATCCTTTATTATTCCTATTGTACATACACTATGACATCCCTATACATTCCATCTCATTTGTATACCATTCTTTATTCCTATTGTACATACACTATGACATCCCTATACATTCCATCTCATTTGTATACCATTCTTTATTCCCATTGTACATACACTATGACATCCCTATACATTCCATCTCATTTGTATACCATCCTTTATTCCTATTGTACATACACTTTGACATCCCAATACATTCCATCTCATTTGTATACCATCCTTTATTCCTATTGTACATACACTTTGACATCCCAATACATTCCATCTCATTTGTATACCATCCTTTATTCCTATTGTACATACACTTTGACATCCCAATACATTCCATCTCATTTGTATACCATCCTTTATTCCTATTGTACATACATTTTGACATCCCAATACATATGTATTGGGATGTCAAAGTGTATGATTGCTGACTGTTTTGATACTATACACGTAAGTACCTCAGGTAGACTGCTTTCAAACTTGTTCATTTAATTATGATATCTTAAATCTTCTAATTTTGATATCTTCTAACATTTTTATTCGTTTTGGTGATATTTCTGACTTTTTGTTAAATTGCTTTGATGTATGTAAGTACCTCAGGTAGACCTCTGTGAGATTTGTTTATTTTCTAATGGTATTTTCAGTTCTTTAATCGAAATGTGAATTTCAGACAAGAGGCTGCTTGTTATTTATTATTATGTAGGAAAATGCCCGATAGCGCATTTTAATTTTTGTGCAAAACAAGGCCACAATTTTTTCTGTACTCTTGGTGTATATATTTTAAGGTTTTTTCGCATTGTGGGCAAAACTTAAAAAATGTTTTCATGATTTTTTTTCTCCAAAGGCAATTTTCGTTTTCTTGTAACGATCAACCTGATGTTAACATTGCGATGTAATGGATAAACACCACTGCTGTTGCTATCATCGATAACTAACTTTTGGTGTTGGTTAAATAAAAATAAAATACCCTCGAAATTGCAGAAAAATTTTAAATTTTTTTAAAATGTTTTATGAACATCGGCAATCGTTAGTGTATGGTAGATTTTGGCATTTAGTCGTGATTCGATATTCATTTTTGTGGACGATAAAAGTCACTTTTAAAAAAACAGACATTATCTCAGTTTGTCGAAACTTAATTAGCTCTCCCTGTTTCTGTCGTCAGGGCCTATTTTAAACTTTTGCATTCTTGGACAATGACGACTCACAGACATAGTGTGAAAGTTTCACTTGAAATAAACAAGAGCTACCAGGTAATTAGATTTGAACTTCCCTGGCAAACTGAAAAACACAAGTGGAAATAATGGTTAATTTGCATAACCATTCACTCAAAAAGAATATCGATGTTACGTTCTTTCTTCATTATTAGCTATTATAATTTTGATATGTTCATTACCTTGGCACTCCATGCACTCACATTAATGACATAAATATCATGCAACAGTGCATTATCGTTGTGTGTCGTGTAAGACAAATGGTTAACTATTACCCTAAATTCACATCCTCATAACACATTTTTATGTTTCTAATGTTTAAGTGTATCGAGGGTATACTATGATGTTAGGAGCAAGTGGTGCTGGTAAATCATCCACAGTGAAAAGCATATTGGGTGAACCATTCAAAGAGGAGTTGGATAGTACTGATGGAATGAAAACATTTCATATCAGATCAGATTTGTTTGGTAAATTTGAAGGTAAATTTGCTTTTTTAAGTGTTCTGTCATTAATAATAACATAGTAGCAATTATTAACCCTCGTTTCAGGTGTGTATTATTTTGGCTTCAGTCCAACATTTTCTCAGAAATTCTGCACCAGATGTCAATGAAACTTGACAGGTTGATGAACGATAATGTGTTGAATAGGCTTTGATTTTTTTCTAAATCTGAGAGTCCTAAGTGGATCTTTTTCATGAATGAATGAAACTGACAGAGCAATTAAGCATGCTCAGTATAAATTGATTTGGTTAGATCTGTAAGTAATGCTGTTTTACAGCACGTGATCTCTCGATTCGACAGTGCATTTTATTATTCTGTTTATATTCTATTTGGCTCAGTGGTATCATTTACTAGTTACTAGAAGAACTAGTAACCTGGTTTGATTGCAGGAACTTCAAGAAAGTGGGATAAGAGACGTGTTTGCAAAGGTAGGTTCTCAATTTTCATTGAAATTGAATGTATTGGGGATTGGGTTGGTGTACATCCTGTGATGCACCAATGTGAACCAGCATATGCTTGAAGCTATTAAGAGAGTATTAAAACAAAGGATTTGATTGGAGGGAGTTAAATTAACGTGATGATTTCATAGTTATATTTTTTTTTCATAACTCCACAAATGAATTGTATATACAATTAACAATATCAACTAATATATTTTTGACAATATATTCCATTTTAATTAACTAAATGTATTTCATTGTATACAGTGAATCTTGTTTATTTGAAAAAAATATAACTATACATTATGTTAATTAGCATGCAAATTAACCTCAACTCTGAGGCAATATTCCGGGAGAACACGCAAAATAAAACAAATGATCAGAAGATAATGCATTCACAATGAAAACTGACTAATTTAAATTTATTCAAGTGTATTAGGATTCATATCAATAATTATATGATTTGTTACTGAGCTAAACTTAGGCATAAAATTCTTGTTTTTATTTTATAAAAAATCTTTAGCTTAACAGATACTAATCTCTAGAATCATTTAGATTGGCACATAACTATAAGTGCTGTGAAATTTTTCAATACTGTCTTACATTTCAAAACTATATTGATTATACTTATTTTTAACTACCATCTTTTTTATTTTTTTTACAGTGGTGCTGTATACTGTTTCAATTTCGTAAAGCCATATTTTTGCAAATTACATCTGATCAACCAATCTTTGTCTTTGTCTATACAAACTTGCTTTATTATTACTTTCTCTGAAAACACATCTTTATTAAGAATTGATATTGTATGTACAGTGAATGCATTTTAAATAATAAATCGTACTTAAAAAATGATATTTTGAAAACCTGCGAATGATTCTGTTGCATTGTGGTGTTACTGAAACAAATCCAGGTCATGGTAAAATACTAAGACCTGAATTAACAAAGAAGTCATGCTATTGTTACTGTCACCACCATATTGTTCTGAACACCAAAACAGCGAAATTGTCATCTAAGTTGCTGACTAGTTTGCTCTGCGCGCCTGGAGGTTGTTATGTGTTGGGTCAAACCAACTTCAACAAGAGACATCAAAGTAATAGTGGGGTCTCAGACATGTTGAATATAAATAGAAAATCACGATGCGATTCCCTTTCAAGTTTTTTCATTCAATTGTATAAATTGCTATATAATAAATACACATTATGAAATGTTAGGACACAGTCATTGCTGCGTTTGTGGTGTGTGTCATAACTCTTGTTCTAGTTCTAATCATGTAACGATCTCGAGACGCTCTTAGAAAACCAGTCAGCAATTTTGCTGGCAATGTATTTTGGTGTTCTGACAATATTGTGGTGACAGTAAAGGTACATCATGGTTTACTTCGATTTATGAATGCAGTTTCTTGAGCATGTATGTATGTATGAGACATAGTTTGGTTGCACATGTGTACTGTGAGATTTTGGACATATGTCAATGGAATTTTTCAGTTATCAGTGCAATAGTAGATTATGGGAAATCACTTGATGATGAGTTGTACCCACATATAGTACAAATTATCCATCTGTTTATGGATGTTCCATATATTATTTTAACATGCGTATTTTATAATCAAATGACTATTATTTATGATTCCTATACAGTGACCCTCGCTATGTCGCAGGTAGTTAGGCGGCTCCCAAAATGTTATTGTGTTTTGCCGGCGGTTTTGAAGTAAAAAACTAATGTTTCATTGCATTGTGTATTTAATTAGCCATTTAACTGATTAGCTTGGTTGTAACTCGTATTAATTACCTAATTTGCATAATAATTAGCCAGTGTTAAGCAATTTCGAGATTTTTCAATAAAAACATAGATGCTCTATAAACAGTTTTTATTAGCTCTGCTGTCGACTTTGTCGAGCGGAGCTTATCATATAAGTGATTGTCCGTCGTCGTCGTCCTCCATCAT